CTCTCTCTCTCTCTCTCTCTCTCTCTCTCTCTCTCTCTCTCTCTCTCTCTCTCTCTCTCTCTCTCTCTCTCTCTCTCTCTCTCTCTCTCCTGCCAGCGCCCAGCCCCCAGCTATAATGGGTGCTACCTGGTGAAGTCCTGTCCTCACTAGATGGTGCTGCTTTCAAGCGCTCTGTGCGCCACTTCATGGCAGGGCAACAGCCAGAATGTGTGTGCTCCACCTCCGAGCCTCCAGCATATCCTGGAGGCTGGAGGGTCGGGAAATTGTGAACCGGTCGAAAGAGGCCAGGGTCTGGAAGGCTCCAGACTGGCCTAGGCCCTACCGATTAGTGGGAGGGTGCGAGCCTTCCCCAACTTGGCCTGGTGTTGCCCAGCCTTTGTTTCATTGCTGGGCCTTCGTCAGCCCACCACTGGCTCGTTTAGTGCCTACCAGCACTAAAACACTAAGCAAGACACGCGGCTTGCCACTTTCTAAGAACAGCATGTCGGAAATGACAGCACCTCTCCCTTTGTTTCTCAAATGTTAATGGACCTACAGTCTTCCCCCAAATAGAATGTATGGTCGTTATCGCTGTATCTCGACAGAAAGTTGCCCCAAAATCTCCCAAATACAGCTCTAATGACAGTGCCTTCTGTTTTTTTCTTTTGTTTTCAAGGCCAGGTTGTCGTAGAGGCTGGATACTAGGCATAATACAGTCCCTTCAGTAGTTGGTCATTTGATTGTCCAGGTGATCTATGTAGGGCCCCTATGAGACTCCCTCTCATCCTTCACTCTCATTGTTGTCCCCGCCACACCCCTTCTCCCAAGATCCTACCTCGGTGTTTTACCACCCAGGATTATCACCCTCCTATTATCCGACGGGGGTGACCTAACCAGACAGTGGTTGCAGGCATCAGGGCGAAGCAGGTCCTCACCTCCCTGCTCAGCCCTGATTGAAGCGTAGTCGGACGAGCCCTGTCGTAAGGTACTTCGAGTGCTAGGCATAGGCATTCCACTACAAGTCCCATAGGTGAACCCATTCCTGTTGAAGGGACCCTAGCCTCTGTCATTAGTGAGTTTGCGGCCACCATCCGTTTTTTCTCACCTCGGTCATGAGCTAGACCCCTTCAGTTATTGTCTTAAGCAGTCCTAGTCTCCTCATCAGTACATACTAGGCCACCATCCCTTCCTTACTTCTGTCACGAACTAGGCCTGCTATTATTCTGATCTTTCATTCTTATTGATACGGGTAGCGGACAATCCTTACCCCTTGAGACAACCTCCACTGCAGGTTCCCCAACGATATCCTCCACTGGAGCCTTTCCAACCTGTGCTCCTACCTAATGGGACCCCTAAGACATTGCCTACTGCAGGTTCCCCACCGACATCCTCCAACAGAGTTTGTCCTACCTACCCTCCCCCCAACCATATCCTCCACTGGAGCCTATCCAACATGCGATCCTACCTAATGGGACCCCTAAGACATCCCCTACTGCAGGTTCCCCACCGATATCCTCCAACAGAGTTTGTCCTACCTACCGTCCCCCCAGCGGGACACCCCCTTATCCCACCTGCGGCCCTTGTCCCCCCAACGCAGAGCCCTAAGGTAACAAACTCTACGTGATCAGTCACTCCACAGCCCTGTCTGCGTCCCCGTTGTTTTTTTAACCTTGTTTTTATTCTGAACAGGTATTGAACCCCAAACCTCATTCTTATCGTTAGTCATCTTTTTTTTTTTTTTTTTTTTTTTTTTTTTTTTTTTTTTTCCTGCTGGAAATCGGGTCCAGCGTCCCTGTACAATGATGTGAATGTATCTGCTGGAAAGCGGGTCCAGTGCCTCTGTACAATGATGTGAATGTATCTGCTGGAAATCGGGTCCAGCATCCGTATGCAGAGATGTGTTGATACCTCCAACTACCTATGTGTGCACGTCAGGCACTATATGTCAGATGATGGGAAACCATATCCATCTGATCTACAGTATCTCCAAACCAAACTGAGGCTTCGAGCCCAATCTTATGTATCAGACGGAACCCTAACCATGATGTGATGTGTATAACACTGATTTGATGTGTGTCAGCTGGAAGACGGGTCCAGCGCTCCTATACAGTGATGTGTAGCTATGACCTACCTTCGGAACGGTCTGTATATGTACCGCAATCCATATGAATCAACATCCAACCAGTGTGTCTTCACTCATCGATTAATACATGTCCTCTGACGGGAAAACCCTATCCCCTAACCTAGCATAGGACTATAGTAAGCGAGGCATCAAGCCCAATTCTATTGATCAATCCAGAAATCGAACCGTGACACAGATATGAAGCGAACCCCAGAGCTGCTGTACTCTATGTGAAGGAGCAGAGGCATTGATTACTTCCCAACGCAAGGGAAGGATTGACCTCCTGCTCATAAAGCATATATGTCCTATACAATGATGTGTATAGATATCATTTTGCGCATGTATTCACCAACAATAACACTCACAATTCTCATCAATCCTTTCGTGATTAAGAGTTGAGGGTCAGCCAGGTAAGAGGCAATCAACCCTAATCATTGCAGGGAGATCATCTATCCTATCCCCACCCGGTGCCAGAAAAGAAGAGACGATTCATCATGAAAAAACACCGAGTAGGAGTGGGGGGGAACAGTACCAAATCGTACCTTCAACCTCAAGCCCCACTCCGCCATCCGCAACAAGCTACGAAATTCCCCCCACTGCCCTGATGACGGCATCTGTCACATGATGCTGATAAGGAGCAAGGATGCAGAAGCACCACTCTCTGCCCCACTACCTCCGTGGTTGTCGCCGCCGCCGTCGTCGTGGCTGTTGTTGTTCTTCTTGTTATTGTTATTGTTGTTGTTGTTATCGTCGTCGTCGCTGTTGTCCGTGTCATCCTTCTCACCCACCTCACCCTTTTCCCCCAATCCCTGCTCACCGTCGTTTTTATTGTTACTGTTGTTGTTGTTGTTGTTGTTGTTGTTGTTGTTGTTGTTGTTGTTGTTGTTGTTGTTGTTGTTGTTGTTATCCTCCTTCATGCCTATCCCACCCAGTTCGCCCATTCGCCGCTCGCCACCGTTGTTGAAGTTACTATTGTTATTGTTGTCGTTGATGGTATTGTCATTGTTGTTGTCGACCATCCCGCCCGTCTCGCCAATCCCACCCATTCCTTGCCTCTCGTCTTCCAACCCCTGCTCCACCTCCACTATTGTTGTTGTTGAAGTTGTTGTCGTTACTGTTGCCGTCGCCGCTGCCGCTGCCGCCATTTCTACCATTACCAATCGCCCCCACTCTCCTTCCCACTCAGCTGCATCATCAGTAGCATATCCCCCCTTTCCATTGCCATCTGCACTCTCATCAGCAACCTCCCTCTCACCTGCATCATCAGCGGCATATTCCCTCTCTGCATCACCATCTGCACTCTCATCCTCAGCCTGGTTAGAGAGTGCCATCAGGTTAGCCCACCTTTCTTCTCCCCCCCCCTCATACTCATCGCACTCGCTCACAGCAACAGCACAACTCGTCTCTCTTTCAGAATCCCAGATCTCACCTATAGCGCAGATATTTGTATAATAGCGGAGCACATCGCAATCATCATCCTGCTCACCTTCAGAATCTTCTGTAAGCGAGACTTCATCTTCATTATGAAAGAGCTTATCCTGTAGTCGAAGTGCTCCACGTTGTAGCTGCGCTTCCATCTCCATCCCTCGCCCGGAATGCTGCACCACGTATTGCAATTCGTCGTTGGTTTTCACTGCTGGCGCTACCCCTGCCCGTGTGTCGCGGACGTTCACGTCCCTACAGCAGATGCCATGTGGCAATCAAAGAGCCACGTGTTTCTGCCGGGCGCGCGCACAGGCCTAGCAGCCTGGGAGCTTACCTCCCCAGGCGCTAGTCGAGCCGGGGGAACTGGGCCTACCGCTCCGCCGGCGTCAGGGCGCTAGCGCTAGCGCAGCCGACCCAAAACCATCTCAATAGGACGCTGAGCCCAGTTCTCATGTGATCGTCAGTCATCTTAACCTACTGAGCTACAACATCTATTGATCTGTGTGTGTGCTGCGCTGAAGTCGAGTGAGAGACAAGTGGGCAATCACCAGAACAACCTCATAGACCGAGAACGTCAAGCAAATCTCTCCTAGCCTAGACCCAACATACAGCAACCATGGATTAAATGCCTTGGGTGATACAGTCAGTGTCTGTAATCCTTACCATGGACCAACCCAAGGGAGGGGTGTGTCCAGCCGTGTGTTCATTCTAACGCGCTGCCGGTGTCCATGCGCAAGGCTGCAATTGAGTTTTGAACCCACAACGTCAAACCACATTTCGCATTTCCAACCGGTGCTCTACCCACTGAGCTAATCGGCCTAAGACAGTACCTCGTTCGGAAAAAGCACCCCAGTTGCAACCAGAAGGTGACTGAATCAAATTCATCAAGTCCGTTCGGGTATGCCTTAGTGTATGCCTGGTGCCCGATGGTCTGTCTGAGATAAGCCTTCTGAACCCCCCCCTCTCCCCCCCTCTCCCCCCCTTTCCCGCCAAAGCTTAGCAAACATTATTGGCTATGGGTAACGTGTGCAGGGACGAGAGGGAAGACAGGGGAGCCATAGAAACTGGCGAGAATTACGCCGCATTACTACTGTTGATGGCAGTTCTCCCAGCAGCGACACCCAAACAGTCTCACTGGTGTGCATTTCATGTCACACCGTCATCGTCATCGCCATCGGTTCTGGTTTTTTTTTTTTTTTTTTTTTTTTTT